AAGATATGACAAAATAATAATTTATAAATTATCAAGGGTTCAGGAGGGAGTGGGGAGTGGGATGGAGGGGGAAAATGAGGAGCTGATGCCGGGGGCTTGGGTGGAGAGCAAATGTTTTGATGAGGGCAATGAATATACAAATGTGCTTTACACAATTGAGGTATGTATGGATTGTGATGGGAGTTGTATGAGCCCCTAATAAAACGATTAAAAAAAGAAAGAAAGAAAATGTTTCAAAAAGCTGACTCAACACTAGAAACACTAGTTTATGTCAAGAAATTTGAAAGACAACTTCCTGGAAGAGATCGCTATTTGTGCTGTTTCAAAGAAAGAGGACCCAACAATGCAGACATTATTGAACAGTGCCATTAATATAATGTGCAAGTAAAATTATGCTGACAATAATTTTTAAATTGTTGCAGCAGTGCATCAGCAGAGATCTGCCAGAAATTCAATCCTAATTTAGAAGAGGATATGGAAAGAGGGATACATCAAATGAATTTTAGCTGAAAGCAGAGAATGTCAGAAGGATGTTGTCTTAGTTTGGGTTATCTAGAGAACCAAAACTAGTGAAATATATATATCAACTCAATATCAAACTCACTACCATCAAAGCAAGTCCAACTCATAACCAACCTATAGAACGGGGTAGTTGGTTTCTGAGACTATAACTGTTGTAGAAAGTCTCACATGTCTCCAGTGAAGCAGCTGGTGGTTTTAGGCTGCTGTTCTTGCAGTTAGAAGACCAATATATCACCTGCTATACCACCAGATTTCCATATATATGGATATGTATATTGAAATTTATATAAGAAACTTACTCACACATTGATAGAGTGGGCAAATCCAAGTCTAGGCACGTTCCAAGTCTTTGGGTCAGGTGTTAGGCTGAAGACTTCTACTGACTAGAATAGCTTCAGGGGATGATGATCACCAGTCAAACCAAAGGCTGGTGGTGGCAGAAGCAGATGAATCCCAGATCATCAGGTCAGGCTCTGGCTGCTGAAGTAATGAATCCATAGTCAACAGGTCAGATGACAGATCACCGAGGATCTCCAGCATTCACAGGCAATAAGCAGACCATTGAATAAGTTACAAAGAACCAGAGGACAATGAGCCAGATACAGGATCCAGACCCAGAAAAAGCAAACAAGCTTTCCTCTGTATCTACTTGTACTGGAAGCAAGCCACACCCCTGAGGAAATGTCCTTTCAATTAAATCAGGGGTGTGACCTGAGTAAGGATGTTGCATTCTGCGCTGTTATTCCCTGATGGAGACTTATAGTTGATTGACTGTGATTATTTTGTGTTACCTCAGGTCCTGGAGGATTATGAGATGATAACTACCAAGCCCGAGAACTCTGGCCTAGCCCTGTTGACACAAAACCTTGACAATTAAAGATGTTTACTTGTGTATTGGACAGTGTGGATCATAACACACTGAATAACATTGAGGATAATGGGAATCTAGAACATTCAGCTATGCGTATGTGGAACCTGTACATATACCTACAGACAGTTGTTGGAACAGAACGAGGGGATATTTCACCGCTTAAAATCAGGAAGGATGTGCATCAGGGTTGTCTCCTTTCACCATACCTATTTAATCTTTATGTTGAGTAGATAATCCAAGGAGGTGGACTGTATGTAGAAGAATGTGGCATCAGAATTGTTGGAAGACTCATTAACAAACTGCTATATGCAGATGACATAACCTTGCTTGCTGAAGGCAAGGCATACTCTCACCGCGTATTGATGAAAATCAAAGATGACAACTTTCAGTATGCAATGCAACTCCGTAAAGAAAGCAAAGACCCTCACCAGTGGCCCAATCGACAACATCATGATAAGCTGATACAAGACTGAAGTCGTCAGTGGGTGGGGAAGGAGGAATGGTGAAGACAGGATAGTCCCAAAGGCCAACCAAACCGCCAAAATTAGTGGTGACATTGAGTGATTTCCGAGAAAGGGAAAGAGGCCTAGAGCTATCCAAGCAGTTCTAAGAGAATCTCTTATTCAGTGTGAAAGCGGACATTAAATCTTTATTCATTTTAATAGCTAGAATTTTTTCTAAGAAGATGTAAAAGAGTATTGAATAATATGAGTTCATTACTGTTTGAATTTTGATCATCACCTCCTTGTTAATAAATACCAAAATTGGGTTTTCTTTTTGTTATTTCCCTTTCCATTATGTGCCACTAATCTTCAGCATGAACTCTTCTTACAGATACTTAGAGGCATGCCAATAAACACATTCTTCTGTACAACATAACAAGCTTCCATGTTGTATGCAAATTATATAATTCAAGGAGTCCTTCTTTAAGATAAATAATTCACGGCTTTTTTGACAGAGCCTTAAAAATGAAAGGCCCACAAAGCATAAGCTTTACTTGCTTAGTGGTATATAGAGCTCTCATCTGTAAAATGGAAAGATAAGAAACTGTTAACATTTAATCATTATAGGACCAATAATGAGAGTAGCAATACCAGGAGGGGAAAGGGAAGGTGGGGGGATAAAAGGTGAATCTATCACAATGATCACATATACCCCCCTCCCAGGGGGAGGGACAACAGAAAAGTGGGTGAAGGGAGACAGTGGTCAGTGTAAGACATGAACAAAATAAGTTATAAATGTTTTGAAAATGATGAAAGCAACAAATGTACAAATGTTCTTGACACAATGTATTTATGTATGTATTGTGTTAAGAGCTGCAAGAGGCCCCCCTAAAATTAATTAATTAAAAATATTTAATCATTATAGTCATTGTATATTTTGGGCTTGGTAATCCTCAATAAGTGATCATCTCCCAGGGGATCAATGAGAGTAAATTAGTTCCACATACCTTGCTTTTCTTAATTCAATTTTTCAAAGAACCTTCTCTTTGTAGTCTTCTCTCTTCCCATTGTTTGTTTTCCAGTAGTGCTAACAGTGATTTGGGTCATCTCTGTGACAATTAATAGATTGATGGAAAGGGGCAAAGAAAAGAAAATGGTCCCTGGGCCACGGTTCTTATCTAGTAACCTTTTACCTGTAATTGAGGAAAATGTGAGAGGACTTCAAAAAGTTTGTGGGGAAAATAGAAATAAAAGATAGTAGGATTTCTCTCTGAACCTTGTAAAGCCCTGACAGATAGAGATGTCTACATCACTGCCTAATAGTCCAAAATTATTAGAGCCCAATGGCATAATAGAGTGACATCATCATTTGCTTTCCTTTCATTTCATTTTCACTTAGCACATCCAATACCCAAAATCTTGCCCACAACATAATCAGCCATAATTTTTTTTAAAAAATTTTATTGGCACTTCATCCACAGGTCAGACAAGTCAATAATTCTATCATATCAAGAAAAGGTGTACAATCATCACCACAATCAATTCTAGAACATTTTCTCCTTCCTTGCACTCATTGTTTTTCATGTAGTTTTTTAAATTGTGGCAAAATTATACATAGCAAACCATTCTACATTCTCCAATTAAACAACTTCTATATGTATAATTCAGTGCTATTGATTATATTCTTCATGTTGTACAACCATTATTGATATCCTTTTCCAAATCATTCCACCATATAAACTCAATGCCCCCTAAGCAAAAATGCTTCCTCCTTCATCTATAGTAACCATTGGTTAAGTTTGGTTTCTTTCTTTAGTAGTTTTCTTGATCTAATATCCACATATCATACATTTCCATAGTTGAATTTTTTTTTACAAAGAGTTGGATATGCTCTTTACAAAGAGTTCTAATGCTCCCTCCACATCCTGTTCTGGCTCTCCAAATCCCCTCACCCTGACCCTCACAGCCCCACCCCCACCCCCACCCAGCACTCCCCATGTCCCAGATGAACCATTGCATCAGTTATTGTCTCTATGCATCCACTCCTTCTGTGTGCTTCCCAAACTGGGACACCCAATAGGAATAAGAAAAAACAAAGACAAACCAAAATGGCAAGAAGAAAATAATAATAGTAATAATATAACGATACAAATAAAAATAAATAGTAAGAAAGAAAACACCATTATCAGTATTTAAAAAGCCAGAGAAGAAATTTCTGTCATGTAACAAGCAAGAAATATTTGAGCTTAAAGTAAATTCAGGTTGAGTCAAGCGGAAAGTCAACTGACCAAGTAATATATTATACCATAGTTCAATCCACCATAATGAAGTTTACAAAAATCTCCATCTGAGAGTAATCAGAGGGAATCAGCCAGGGACTTAATCTGACTAGATACTCTGCAGATGGATTTCATCTATTAATATCTTTATTAATGCCATTTAAAATATGATAGATGTGGGAAATTTCAAAGACAGGCACATGAAGTAAATTACACTCTAAAACGTGAAAGAAAGAAAAAATACCCTCACTGCCATCAAGGTGATTCCGGCTCATAATGAACCTTTAGAACAGAATCGGACTTCCCTGTTGTTTTCCAAATCTCTAAATATTTAGGGGACAGAAATGCTCATGAGTGGGCTTGGAACTTGCAGTTAGCTACACAACACACAACCTACTAGTCATCTCTAAATTAATCTCTTTCTTTGAATGTGAAAATATTTTAACTTACAGGGCAGTTTTGTGTCACCATCTTTTTTGGACTGATGAATCGTTTCAAAGCTGTTTGCTTTATATAAGAGGACTTTGTGAAGATGCAGTTAGACTTAAAAAAGGTAATGGATATGAAGATAATCCATCTGCCATACGCCTTGTAAAGGTGGGTAAAATTATACTACTGTACTAATAAAGATGGGTCTAATATTTATAAATAATTGTACACAGTAACTAGAAATATATAGTTTTGAGCCAAAGGAATGCAGGTTATGATCCATAAGTAAAACGTCACTATGGATGAATAATATTGGAAAATATTTCCAAAGGACATTATTCTCTTGATAACAAATTTTCAAATGGTAAAACTGAGTCTTAGAAAGATTGATTTATCTTAGGCACAGACCTACTAAAGACAGAGTTGGGATTTTTAATTGTGTTTTATATTGAAAGGTGAATTTTGTTTTATTGGACAGTAGAAATGTGTGTGTATATGTATATATATAATATACATATATAATTATCTCATAGGAAAGTATATAGAGTAGTACTGGTAATCTACATTTTCTAACAACTCCCTCAGAAGGTTCTAATATAAAGCATATATTAAAAATTACTTTTAAAGGATAACTATTGAAAGTTTATACCCGTTATCTTAATAAATTAATGTGATACTGGTTAATAAGGAAACGAGAATGGGAAGATACTAGGGGTAAAGAGACCAAATAATACAGTGTTTGAATGATTCAGACATAGGTAATAAATTCTTCAGTGAGGATGCTGAAGGGATATTCTTGAAACCCAGTTTACTTGGAAAAATTAAGATCTGATAACCAGATATGGTACTATAAGAGTGAGAATTAGAAGGTTAAATTTGCTCTTCCGCTGGAGACCTGCACGACGCCACCATGTCGCTAGCAGTCCCCAAGAAGTTCGAGTACTCAACACTAATAACATCGACAGGCGGCAGACAATAGCCTTTGCCATCCATGACTGCCCTTAAGAAATGCCCCTGTGGTGGTGAGGAAAGCAGGCATCGACCTCGCCAAGCGAGCAGGAGCGCTCACCCAAGACCAGGTTGGGCGGCTGATGACCATCCTGCAGAATCCACGCAGCACAAACTTCCAGACTGGTTCTTGAACAGACAGAAAGATGTGAAGGATGGCAAACACAGCCAGGTCCTGGCCCACGGTCTGGACAACAAGCTCCGCGAACATCTGGAGCAGCAGAAAGAGATACAGGCCCACAGAGGGCTGCGCTACTTCTGGGGTCTGCGAGTTCGAGGCCAGCCACCAAGACCACAGGCCGCCATGGCCGAAGTGCTGGTGTGTCCAAGAAGAAACAAACACCATCACCCTTGTCCATTAATAAATAGTTTATGCACAAAAAATAGCTAAGAGGTTAATCCCAAATTGTGTGACTAGATTAGCACCTTTTAAACTTTTTTTTCACTTTTGTACACATGCTTTTGTAAATTACATAGTATAACTGGGGATAAAAATATATCTTTATTGATGAAGATTTATTCATCGCAAGAATTAACATGGTGTAAGCAAGAAGACATTATTCTTGGCCAGAGAAAAAGGAAGCCCATCAGTAATAAGATGGACATGGCGTCTCTAACAATAGACTCGACCAATCGTGAGGCGAGGTCCCGGCAGGGTTTTGCTCTGCTGTAAATGGGGTCCCTGCCCTATGGGCCTACTCGAAGGCACCAAACAGCAGCATCAAACAAGGAAGACGAGGACTAATGAGGAAAGATGAATGATCGTATGTATATGAATGGATCAAACATCCTGTTTCTGTGCGATCGGAGAGGATTTTGATCGCACAGCTGTGAGTGATTTCCTCTTGCTAAGTTTTTATTAAATTCAGAGTAGAATTTTTCATTTAGATTATTTTCCTTTGGTCTCTTTATACTGCATTGAATGTTCAATATTTTCAAATTTACAAATAATTGGAACTTCTAAAAGAACAGTGGGATTTTGATTCCTGGGGTGGGTGATTCCACCGAGTTCATAGATAGTTCTAATATATTCCAATTCTTGAATTGTCCTGCTTTGAACTAATCTTACTTGTGTTTCAAATAATAATATATTTTCTACCGTTATCAATATTTAGTTAGACTTAACTATTACTGCTTAAATTGGAATAAAGTATAAGGTATAGGTATGTACAGCATAGGATACATAAAAATAGATTATAAGATGCTTTTTGTGTTGTAAGAAAAATAAAATGTTTTATTAATTTTCAATTTCCACCACTCAACCTTTACTATCATTTAATTAGCTGGACAGGTTTCATACCTGTTCTCTAGATGAATTTTGTGAAGAACAACTAAAACAAGCTTCAAGAGCATTGAAACAGTTTGAAGATGTCAGAGATAAAGCAATTTCAGAGATAAAAAGAACAGTTTTAAAGGTAATGTTTTCATTATATTCTCTCTATCAAGATCACAATATACTGACTAAAGCAGTTGTTTCAAATTTCATTTCAATAAAAACTATAAAGAATAGGCAAGTAGAGACACAAAGGTGACTAACAGGTGGCTAATCAACTAACCAACTCCTATTGCACATTGACTAGATGCAAGAACTTTGCCAGGAGTTCTGGTAACATAGTTGGTCATATATTGAGCTACTGACCACAAGGTCACCAGTTTGAACCCAACAGCTGCTCCACAGGAGACAGATGAGGCTGTCCACTCATGTACAGATTTAAGTCTCAGAAACTCAAGGGAGCAGTTCTATAGGGTCATCATGAGTCAAAATTGACTAGACAGTGATTTTGGTTTAGTGCATAAAATGCAAAGCTGTGTGTGTGTGTGTGTGTGTGCATGTACACCTTCTAACTTGAATTTATATTTAAGGAGACAGGTAATGCATTCCAAAATGCACAATATTCAGTAGACAAAGAAAGCTCATTGTTCCGGAGAAGGATGAATAGATGAGATGAAAATTCCCTGAGGGTTTTATAAAAAGCATTTTATAAAATACTTAAAGATGTCTCCAAAGCAGTGTTGTCTCTCCTGTTATGACTCGTTCCACAAGCCTATTTTATACAGCGTTGCAGCATAGGACATGGCAATGCATGGAAGCATAGTTTAGTAAATGCAGCTAGTCTAGCAATGGACCTCACTCAGTTGCTGGTCTGGTTGGATTGAATTGGACATTTGCACTGTGCTGGAGGAACAAATGGACTAGATTTCGCTCAAAAAAAACATTGCAAATATTATTTCTCTATAGGAAACTTTTGATAGATACTGTGTAGTAATGATATTAAAGCTTCACTTTTTGACAAGAAAGTGAAGTGCATTGATGCAGATAAGCTGTCAGACAATTTTGCTAAGGGTTGTATAAATAAAAAAGGATTGACTAAAATTAAATTCGTTCATTTAGGTTGAGCAGTTTAAAAGATTGACAGTGATAGACGTAAAATACTATTCATAGGTATTTTCCATTTTAAAAAAACCCACTATTTTCTCTATTATTTTGTTAAGAGATTTGGTCTCCTGACATGGAATTTGAACTATATAAGGCAAGAGTTGGGAAAGCAAGAGATTTCTGCTTCAGAGTTCTGGTGTTCAGCCTCAAACTCAATACATGGATTAAATATGCTGTACCTGACTTCTTTTGTTTCTCACTGGAAATACTCGTCTTCCTGATTACAGTTAAACAGATTTTGGGAGAGCTTTTAGAGCTAGTTGTTGGAAATAAAGTCACCATATCAGAAATGATTCATAGTTGTCAATAAATATGAATGATGTTTTGTTTTTGTTATTTTACAATACATACACCCTTAAAGTATTATTAAATCTTTCCTGTTAATTTGACTTCTCAGTAAGATTCAACATACATAAAATTTGGAAATTAATGCATGAATTTTTAAAATGGTTTGGGAATGTTTGATTATGCAAGAAACACTTTAAATTAGTGATTCTCAGCTAGGTTATGCAATGGAGCCAGCAGAGGGGACTTTTAATAAATATTGATGCCTGGGATCTGCTGTTATGTGCCATTGAGCTGATTCTAGCTCATAGCCACCTATGTGCAGCAGAAGGAAACACCATCCAGTTCTGTGCCATCCACATGATTGTTCTTATTTTGGGGTCCCTTGTCATTAGCCATTCAGTGAGGGTGTTGCTCTCAACGATGCCTCTCTATTTTACCAAGAATGCTGTACTTTCCTAGGGACTGGTCTCTCTTGATAAAATGCCAAAAGGATATGAGATGACGTCTCACCATCCTTGCACCTCAGGAGCATCCTGGCTGTGTTTCCAAGACAGATTTGTTTGTCCTTTTGACAACCTATGGTGCTTTTCATATTCTTCACCAGCATCATCATTCAAACCCATTCACGTATCCTTCTATCTTCCTTATTCAATGCCCAACTTTCATATATGAGGCAACTGAAAATACCATGGTTTGGATCAAGTGTACCTTACTCCCTAATGTCCTTGCTTTTCAATACTCTAAAAAGGCCTTCCGTAGCACATATGCCCAATGCAATGCACCCTTTGATCTCGACTGCTTCTTCCATGACCGTTAATTGTGAGCCCAAGCAAAATGAAGCCCTTGACAACTTAAATCTTTTCTCCATTTATCATGATGTCACTTATTGGTCCAGTGGTGACAATTTGGGCTTTCTTGCCATTGAGTTGCAATCCATACTGAAGGCTGAAATCTTTGCTCTTCCTCAACCAATGATTCAAGTCCTCCCCACTTTCAGCAAGCAAGGTTGTGTCATAAGCCTTCCTCCAATCATGATGATACATTCTTCCTCATATAGTCCAGCTTCTTTGATACAGCTCATGATATGGATTGGATAAGTATGGTAAGAGAATACAAACATGACATAGCTTTCCTGATTTTATACAAAGTAATACATGCGGCATTACTTTGATCTATTCACCCATCTGCCTCTTAATCCATGTACAAGTTATGCATAAGTTCTGGAATTTTCATTCTTTCCAAGGCTATCTGTAGTTTGTTATGATCCACAGTCAAATGCCTTTGCATAGTCAATAAAACACAAATAAACATCTTTCTGATATTTTCTGCCAAGATCCATCTGACAGCAGCAATGATACCCCTCATTCCAAGTCCTTTTCTGAATCTAGTCTGAATCCCTGGTAGCTTCCTGTCAAGGTATTGCTGCAACCACTGTTGGATGATTTTCAGCAAAAATTTATTTGCATGTTTTATCAGTGATATTGTTCTATAATTTGAGCATTCTTTGGGGTCACTTTTCTTTGGTATGAACACAAGTAGGGATTTCTTCCAGTCAGTTGGCCAGGAGGCGGTCTTCCAAATTTCTTGGCAGAGTGAGTGAGTGCTCCCAGTGTTTCCTCAGGTGGTTGAAGCATTTCAATCAGTCTTCCATCAATTCCTGGAGCCTTGTTTTTGGCGAATGTTTTCAGTGCAGCTTGGACTCTTCCTTCAGTACACTTGGTTTGTGATCATATGCTACCTTTTGAAGTGGTTGAAGGTCAACCAGTTCTTTTTGGAACAGTGATTCTGTGCAATCTTTCCATCTTGTTTTGATGTTTCCTGCATCATTCAACATTTGCCCACAGAATATTTCAATAGTGTAATTCAAGGCTTGATTTTGTTTCAGTTCAGTTATGATATCCTGGACATGTTCTTCCTTATTGGTTTTCTAACTCTAGAATTTTGCACATTTCATTATTATTTTCTTTTTCCTCTTGAATGGCCCTTTGACATTTTCTGTTCAACTATTTTATTTCATGATTTCTTCCATTTGCCTTATCTAGCCTATGGTTAAGAGCCAGTTTCAGAGTCTCTTCTGACATCCACTTCTTTGCTACTTTTTAATGACCTTTTGCTTTTTCATATATGATATTCTTGATGTCATCCCTCAACTCATCAGGTCTTCTGTCATTGGTGTACAATGTATCAAATCTGCTCTTGAGTTATTCTCAAAATTCAGGGGGATGGTGGGGGGATATTCTCAAGTTTGTATTTTTGCTCTCATGGACTGGGTTTCGTTTTCTTCCATTTCAACCTGAACTTACACACGAGCAATTGTAACCAGCGCCAGGCCTGGTTTTCACTGCTACTGAGCTTCTCCATCATCTCCTACAGATGTAGTCAATTTGACTTCGGTGCTGTTGAAAAAAGGTATAGGTGATGATGAAGTCAATGGTCTTGCAAATGCTCCAGCTTGATTTCTAACACCAAGCCATATTTTCAATTAATATTCCTTCCCCTTTGTTTTTAATTTTTCATTCCAATGGCCAATAATTATCAATGCAATTTTATTGCATGCTTGATCAATTTCTGACTGAGTACATTGGTAATATTCTTCAATTTTTTTCATCACTATCTTTAGTAGTGTGTGATAAGTTTGAATGATCATTGTATTGATTCCATAACCTTGTATACAGATAAATATTATCCTATCACAGACAGCATTGCACTTCAAGATAGATCTTAAAATGTCCTTTTTAATGATGAGTATAATGCCATTTCTCTTGAATCTGTCATTCCCAGCATAGTACACCATATGCTTTTCTGATTCAGAATAACCCAAATCAGGCCATTTCAGCTCACAAAAGCCCAAGAGATCAATCTATATGAAAGCTTCATACATTTTTTTTGAAAGCTTCTAATTTTCCCAGATTCATACTTCATATATTCCAAGACCCAATTATGAATAGATACTTGCAGCTGTTTCATCTCACTTGCGTTGCGCCCCATCAACAAATGAAAGTCACAAACACTTTACTCCTGAGGATTTTACTCCAGCCAGGTCATTATCGTTGACTCTGTTTTGAGAAGACAGCTCTTCCTCAGTCATCTTTTGAGTGCCTTCCGATCTGAGGAGCTCGTCTTCGGGCACTGTCTCTGACAACGTTCCACTGATATCCACAAGGTTTTCAGGAGTGGACAGCCTACTTATTCATCGTGGTCTGTTGTGGATCTGTAAGCTCTTCTTGAAACGAGTTCACTTTTGGGTGGTCCTGTTGTATTTCCTGTACCAATGACATAGCTTCACAAACAGTGACGTGGTGCTACAACAACACACAAGGCACTACAGTATAACAAATTGACAAACAAGTGGTGGCCTGGGACCTTGCAATTAGGCGCCCAACGCATAGCCCACTACATCTCTTGGGGTGCTCTACCACAGTAGAAGCAGAGAGTGATGCAAACCTGGAGTCAGATGTGAAAATATGCACTGTGATTTTAGAGGACCAGTTATCATATTCCATGCCTGATCTTCATCAATCTCAGTAATACTCATTCAACAGACCAGGATATCACTGTGTGCTATAGTACTAATACACTTATTAAGATATTTAAGGTTGTTTGGTACCAGTGCTGAAAATCCAAAGTATGAACAGGTAAAGCCTGCTTCACCCTTTTATCAGTTTAAAAAATCCATGAATTATGCATATAAAGTTTTCAAATCATGTAGCCACTCCTGGGAAAGCATAGATCTCCCTGCCACCCTGGAAGAGATGGTGTGGATGAGTGATTAGTGAACGATAAATCAGAAAAGGTGGGCACAGTCGGTTTAAAAAGGTTTGGAATTCTCACTTAGGCAGATGATTGTGTCCTCCAAGTAGCTGTCAAAAAAAGGAAGTTTGTCATGAATCATATCATCATGAACATTTTCTTGCACTCTCTTTTTAATAGAATTAGTATTCTATATGTCAGGTCCAGTATGTCAAATCCCATAACGAGTATAGAAATTACTTTGCCTTTACGGTTTCTATCAACTATCACATCAAAAAGGGCAGCATTATATTGCTAAAACTTCCCTCTAGAGTAGCGGTTCCCAGAGTGGGCAATTCTGGACCCCTGGAGGCACTAGAGTGATCAAGGGTGGGTTCCAGAAGCAGATACCTACACTTTATCCTGGATTGTAAGCTACAGTTTAAAAAGTTTTTATTTTTTTCTTAAAAGGGGCAGCAGGCCAAATAAGTTTGGGAACTTAGTTCTAAAGGATCAGCCAGTAGTGGAAATAATTTGCAAAATTGGTTAACTGACAAATTAATAAAATATATATATAAATGAATAAGGTGAAATATGAAGAAGATACTATTAAAAACTGATATAATAATGTTTTTTCATCAAAATGCAAATAGGAGGGATGACTACTAACCAAAATGTAAATATTAATAGAAAAAAAAGAATTTTAAAGACTCTCCCAAAATTTAAATAACAATGAGGGAAACGTTTTTTAAGAACATGAACAAGAAAGAATAATTTAAGGCATGTAAAAAATTAAAAACTCATCAAAGGAAACATTTTGAGTAAGTCTATTTTAGAGGCACAATTTACCGGTAGAAATGTTTGGTGAGACATTAGTACTGATGACACTATATTTTCTGTTGAAACTTGCTGTTCTCCCATGATCTTGTACATTAATTGTCTAAGGAGATGTCATATTTCTTTTAGTATTTAATCTTTTCATTTATTGTATTTTTGGTGAATGTTTACAGAACAAATTAGTTTTTCATTTAGCAATTTCTATACATATTGCTCCTTGACCTCGGTTATATTTCCACAATGTGTCAGCATTGCCATTATTTTTATTCTGGTTGTTCTGTCTCCAGTACTCTAACTTTCCTGTGTCCCTTCCCTTCTCATCTCGACGTATGGGTCAATGTTGACTATTCAGTCTCACATAGAGGATTATTTAAAGGAGCACAGTGTTCGTGAGTGATGTTGTCTCTTTTATGAGTCAGTATATAATTGGGCTTCAGGTAATCTCTGGGAGTGGGCTCAGTTCCAAATTTAAAAGGTATCTCAAGGCAGTATCCCGACTTGCCTGAATTTCATAAAATTAGCTGCCTGGGAGACTAAACTTAATAGGCTTCAGAAGACATGTGTTTTGTGTTTTGTTTATTTGGTTGCTTTTTTTCCTGTTTACTGTTTAAAAGCAATATAAGCAAGAGCTAAATTTTCAATGGAATTTTTGGGTAAAATTTAGTTCCAATTTGTTATTCAGGCTATAAAAATACTATTAACTAGAAATTGTTCTCCGTTAACATATAAATAATAACTTGTATCTCAATTGTTTATTATTAAATTGTAGGTGGCAGAAAGGAAAGATTTGAAACAATATTTTGAATCAGATCTCTCTGTATATGATGACACAACACATTTCAAACTGCCTAAATATCGACGTTTATTAGAAACAGTCTTCAGGTTTATGATGCTGGTTGATTGCCTATTCCAGGAGCTCATTCGCCAACTTATGAACACTGCAATCACATTACTTTTGGATTTATTTAATAGTTCTGCCAGAATGCCACTTTCAAAAGAAAAAAAGAATGATGATCTAATCAGGTAAATCATCCTTTTCACTTATGAAAGGAATTTATTGCCATCAGCTCACATTGATTCTTATGCAGGAAATACATAATAATTTAAGCTGGAATTTGGAAACTGGTTATAGCAAAATATCATTTGTATTCAATTTGGATTAACTGAACTTGTTTGGTAATGTTTATTTAATACTCTCTTTACAGTTTAAGAAAATGTTCTCTTTTTTTTCAAAATCGTGTATAGATCATTTTTTAGCAGTCATATAAAATATACTCTGTGAAATTTGAATTTCAAATAACAACACTTTTTTCTAATATAAGTATATCCAAAATATTATTTTAATAGTTTCCTTGGAATATGATTAAAGTATCATGCAAGTTAATAATTCAATCTTATCAAAGAGAGTTCTGCGATCATCACTACAGTTATTATCAGAATATTTTCTTCTTTCTTGTACTCAAAACTAGGACATTATACTTTTATAAATTGATGGTTTTCTCAATGTTCCCAATTATACAGTGCTTTTTGACAGTGGAAATTTCTACAAGAAATTCTTAGGAGGATACCGTCCTTATCCTTTGATTCCTCTCCTTCCTCTCCTTCACTGATACCTCCACTTCAAACCAGACCAAAGAGTTCAGTTTCCTGGCTTTGTTCTTCTGTTTTGTTTTGTTTTATTTTATAGCAAATCTGATAACACATTCTGATCCATTTGCCCTCAGTATTATGCTGCATTTAATCTTTGGGTTACCTCTCCCTACACCACTTTAAGAGTGTGATATTTATAATGGGGAGAGGCTGGGCATCTTGAAGAGTCTGTCAAAGATATCTGTGATTTTAATTTCTGAGCCAGAAGCCCAGTCTTTTCCAATGCACAAGAGATTCGTCATGCACTAACTGGTGTTTAGGTGTAAGGGAGCTGCCTGAGTTGTGCTTGGAAGGAGACTAGTTGGTGCACTCTGAAAGTTCATCACAAAGAACTGTGATTTTAGTTTTGATATTAAATATCACCCTTAAAATCACTAGACATATTGAGCCCTAAAGTATATGCCCCAACTCCAGTGGTGATTCTCAGTTTACTTGTCTTGGCATCTGGCTGCTCTGGGTATTCTCATTTTGAGAGTGAGCACACATTGGTGATTTCTGATCATTTACAAGCTCCAATGCTGTACTTGGGTGATTTAGGTCCCAGTTACCTATATTTTAAGATGGATAGTTTCTGTCTTTTAACAGAGATAGTGAGCACCTTTAACAATAGTTGATATCTATCAATGTATAGTTGATTTTATTCCTTCTGTTTGGTTTATGATTATTATTTATTTTGCTTTATTTTTATTTACTGTCTTTTCCTTTAGCTGTTTTTCTATTTTTGCTAATTTGGTCAAGGGCCTCTTCATTCCCACTAGACACCTTTCTAGCCCTACGTCTTAAGAGTTCTGTGCGATCTTTTAGTTTGCAGTTCCTCTCCTCCTAACAATCGGGATTAAAGTATTTCCGCATTAGTATAGGTTTAAAAATATTTACTTCTCATAAAATACTTAAATTTTCAGCTCACTCGCCTCAATATAGTTTTGTAGAATGTTTTTCTTTGCTACTGTTCCTCGTCCTGCCAAAATGAGACATAATTTTAAAAGATACTTTTTTATTCTCACTTCTTAATTCTAGAATATACATGAACAATTTATCTGGCACTAGAACTAAGTCTTTAAAAAGCAACTATGAAGATCTCTATTGTCCACCCATCGGTGGTTCTCGTGTTCTAAACACAGAAGTAAAAACTCAGGATGAAATCAATGAGGTAAAATGAACCTTAAAATAGGTGCAGTTTTTTTTATATAAAATGAAATACAGGTTAGCGTAAAGAAGGTGATTTATGACTAGTACCCACAATTTCTTTCCGAGGACACCCACAAACATCTACACTTACAGTCAACCAAAACACCAAACCCACTGACACTGGGTCCATTCTGATTCATAATGACCTTGTATGGATTTCTGAAGCCATAATCCTGATGGACTTACCCAATAATGCCACGAGAGCTCCTGCTCTTACATCAGACAGCTGTGATGACCTCGTTTGGTCCTTTTGTTCATTCCTTCAACAAAGTATGTACTACGTACTAGTCATTGAAGTAGGCATTGGAGATTCAGCAAAAAGTAAGCACATTGCCTGCCATTATGCAGCTTATAGTCTTTGGGGAGAAAGGTGCACAGATCTGATCTGGGAGTGACGAGTAGTATGAAGAAAGTACAAGAAGGTAAGGAATGTAGAGCAATGCTGTAATGCCCTTTACATGATGTGTTGGTCTGGGTAGACTAGAGAAACAAATTCACAGACACTCATATGTGTATAGGAAAGAGCTTTATATAAAGTCATTGTATAGTGAGAAAGCATCCCAGCCCAGTCCAGACGAAGTCCGTAAGTCCAATATTAGCCCGGATGTCCAGTACCATTCTGTAAATTCCTCTTCAGACTCAGGCAACACATGCAATGACACTGAGTGCAGGAAGATCACAGGCCAGTGGGTGGAAAGTCTCATGGATCCAGTGGTGGTGTAAGCATCTCAATGTTGGCATGGGTCTCCACATGGCTCCTCCAGCTCCAAGGCTCTGGCTGCATCAGCATAGCTCCATCAGGCTTGTCATCAGTAATGTCTCTCAGGGAGTGAGCGTGTATCCTGCCTCCAGTGAGCTATTTATCTCCTTAGCGCCCCAAATGAAATCATCAAGCTTTGACCTGATTGATGGGCTAAACTCCACCCCTTCACTCTTAATAGTCTCAAATTGACAATAGTTTATGTAACTACCACACATGAGAATCATCAGGAAAGGTCATCCTTACTAAAGTAGCCATCATTCTTTTAAACTTCCACTGCTACACACTTTAACCCCCTCTCCATTTCTTCAAAGCACCTTTGGTTATTCGTATTTTGAACTTAAAAACAAACCCCAACAAGGCTGAGAACGTTCTCTTTTATTGTCATAAAGAATTGTCTTCCTTATCCCTGGGGTTGTTTGTTTTTTGGGGGAGGGGGGGTTATTATTTAAATGTTATGCAGTGGGTGCTTCCTTTGTTTGGAAAACATAGTGCTTTATATGAGATAATACAGTGTACTGTGTGCTTTATAATCTCTTATATGTGTCCACATGTAGTTTGAAACCTGGAAATAATATGTACCAAACTATTAACAGTGATGATCTATAAATTGTAGGATTTGGGGTAATACTTACTGTTTTATGTATGAAGACTACAAAAAGTTAGTGGGAAAGTTCTATTATCTTTTAATGCCTTTTTTTTTTCTCACAAACTTCTTGAAGTCTCCTCAAAACAGTCCCAGATGGCTTGACTTGCTTGCAATGCCTGTACATTGTAATGCCTCTATTAGGTAGTTCCTACTTCTGAAAGGATATGAGTACGAGTTAAACCATAACTAAAGAGACACCCATAGAAATTTCCCTGAGTTCCATCATTTTTCATTTAATTAAAAAATTAATTCCCTGCTCTACTCTTTTTTTTGCAATTATATATATATTTTTTAAATTTATTTTTTTAAACATTTTATTAGGGGCTCATACAACTGTTATC